CTTCCATAGTGTAGCATTAAAAACAAGCTACGCCTCCAAAATCTCATTTAATGACTTGTTCTTCATTGCAATTTACAATATTGTTTTATATTTTATAAAGGCATGTTTCGGAACTATCGCGATTATTTGGTAGGCTAGGCAGATAGCATAACTATTCCATTCTGAATGAGATAAGCTTTTGGAAGGTTAGGCTAAGCAGAATTCACTGGCATCACGGGCTTAGCCTATATCAATGTATGAAAAACTCCACTATCCATCTTTAAATTACCTCAAGTGGCTCAGATAGACTTAAAAAAATTAACTTTTCCAACTGTAAGGCAATCCTTCTTCGGTTGCCAAATGTTTTTCTCAAAATGAATATTCTAGGGAAATAAACTATGCCATGCTGTGATATTCACGTGTATATAAATTCCTTATCCTCCATCTGATCACGAGTAAGGGAACCATCTGGTTTCGTTGGAACACCAAAATGGGATTTCGTTAGGGCTTTAGTCGGTTCGGAGGCATTTATCTCTGCCCAAAACTTTTTCTCTATAGAGTGCACATATTGTGTGCAGTAAAATGTTTATTCATCATTCATTTAGTTTACATAGACGTATGGACAAGGTTCATAAATTTGCTTCGCCAGAAACTGTAGGAGGATCGCCTTGGAGTCATCAATGTTGATTTATGCGAAGAAAAGTGTGGCTTCTAGGAATATTTTCACATATAGTTGTTGAGTTCACTTTTACTTTAAGGAGACTGCAAGCTGTTGGCCTTACTGGAACATTCTTGCCGAAAATTTCTTTGAGGCAAACTTGTTGGATTCGATAAATACTTGTTAGATTAACTCATATCAGAGAAGGGGATCATTCTTCCAACCATACTTAAGCTAACAAGCTATGAGAATTCACTGGCTTATCCCTAAATACTCTATGCATGCACTCCAAATCAATGTATTTTTATGAGGTATACAACGATTTGCTTTGTTGACATATGACTTGCACTAACAAATTAATTGTATATCTTACCAAAATGCATGGGTCTATAGTATATGTTTACGACATTTAGGATTATTCGGTGAGTTTTCTTGACTTTTTAGCTTGAATATGGTTGTTAGAATGATAGTCTGCTCTGGTATGAAGTACGTGAGTCAGGCACTTTTTCATCGGAATCGAAGGAGATCGCTTTAGGGTCAACGTCAGCAATTATGTTTCAATAAAGCTATTCGACGACTGGCCAATATGGATCAGCAGTAGTCTTTTTTTGGTGGGATCGACCCTCGAGTATCTCCTCATCACACAATTTCACTCGGGGTTTAAGTGAGCTGAGCAATGTGCATTTATGCGAAAAAGTCCTCCGCATAGGAGGGACGAACGCTGATCGCGAGTTTGTCATTTTTGCAGCTCAATGTGCTAAGGGCGTATTCGTCCAAATCCCAAGTCACAACAGGTAAAATACAATCTAGTTTCTGTCCATCTTACTTGTTCCAGTGAAAGGATGGCTAGAGCATGCATTTATTTTATTCGATTCATGGAAGCTCAATTTTCTCCATTCACTCTAATCGATTAATTGTCCTTTTTCAATTGCACACTTGATCGTGGGAAGCAGCAACTCCGTCGTTACGGGACTGCTGGAAAGCGTGCCCCGACTCGCCGCCGGGGGCCCGGGTCACAGCAGGAGCCTGGTCCGTTGTTCCATCTGCGGTCTGAACACTCCGTCTCGATCGTTCCGTCGTCATATGGCCTCGCATCAACCCCTCGCGCTACACGCCTCTGTTATCCAGCCCGACGGCCAACAGGCTCGGATTCCTCTTGACTGCAGTCCCTCCAGCCAGCCCAGTCCCCAGCACCAGCCTGGCCAACACCAATCACCACGGCTCAACGCCCACTGCCACCAAATGCAGCCTCCTCCTCCACCTCCTCCACCTCCTCCCCCACCTCCACCTCCACTTCCTCCTTCTCAGCATCATCTTCATCATCAACACAAACAATCACAACAACAACAGCAGCAGCAGCAAGCGCTCGACAGCCTTCCTTCGATTGCGCGTCTCTCGCAGCCGGGAGAGTCGCAGCAGCTCGTCTTCCGTTGCCACCTCTGCCATACAGCCCGGAAGGACCGCCTCTCCGCCCTGCAGCACTGGTCCACCGATCATCCTGTCCAATGGGCCAACATGACGGTCAAACTGGCCGTTGCTAGCGGCGCCCCTCAGGAGGTTCTGGCTCGCTTCTCGGCGCCCCCTGGGCCCGGCCTCTCCGCAACTGCCGAGAGCGCTCAGCTGGCTGCGGCCGGCCCGCTAACCTGGACGACTGGAGCTCCGAATCAGCCCAATGGAGTCTCCGCCTCTTCAACAACGGCCTCGTTTTCCTCCTCGTCCCCTTCATCCTCTTCGTCCTCATCTTCTTCACCCTCCTCCTCGTGCTCTTCTTGTGCCTCCTCCGTCTCACTCGACCCGCCTGGCATGTCATCCATGGCACTGCTGCCAGGCGACGAGTCTGCCCGTCTAGTTACCTGCTGCTGCGTCTGCCTGCATCGATTTGGTAGCCAACAGGATCTGCAGCGCCACATGCGTTCACACACCGGCGAGCGGCCCTACCAATGCGCCGAATGCGGCAAGGAGTTCTCTCTCAAGCATAGCATGCACCGGCACTCGAGAGTCCACCAGAAGCCCAGTCTCAATCTTAGCCCCAGCCGGTCGTCAGGACCGATGGGTGCCTGTGTCTTCGGCGAGGCGGCGTCGCCACAGCCCTCCTTCCATGCCTCGGAGATGTCCGGCAACTGCGGTCGGCCTGTGGGTGTCTCTGAGTCTGCAACAGTCTGACGTTTCATGCCGCGCCCCATGCCTTTATTGCCCCCACACCTCCGCCCTCCCCCCCTTCCACATCCTCACAAAGGGACACTCGGCTTGACCCCTCCTTCCCACTCCATTCTCCAACCAACCAGCAGTCTTTGACCATCACCGAGACTGGAAGCCCACCAACATTCCAGGAGCTAGAACTGGTGGCTAATCTTCACTTAGTCATTTCTGTCACACCTGGCAGCTGGTGATGAGGCCGCAGGTGTTTCCGGTGCTGGCCGGGAGGAGACCTTTGTCCACGTCTCCTTGTGATACTGCGCATACTTGAGGAATTCGTGACTTGCAGCTAATGGGATACATTTTTGAGCCCGTTCTCATCTGCTCACGGGCGCAATTGCCTTGTGCTGTCATATTTTTCACTTGTTGGGCAAGGAGGGAACTCTTTTGTTGCACTTTGTTTTGCACCATGCTTCAATGCACTTCCTGCCTTTGGCAGGCTGATCCGCATTTCGCTCTTTCCACTTATCTTTATCTTGCTCCTTGTACCCCTTTCTCTGGGCAGCTTGATCTCCACAACTGCAGCAATCACTTGCGGCTGTGGAGATCGGATGTCCATTTGCTTTGCAGACTGGGCCCTAGTTCCGGCCCAGGGACCTTTCTGCCTTCCTCACAATTAGGCTCTAACCTGCTATTTGTTCCGGGTGTTTGGTGAGTTTTCCCAATGCCACGAAGTCTTTTGCTTCGCTGCATAATTGTGCAATCGCACAGTAATAATCTAATTTGTTGTTTCTAACTTCTCGAAACAAAGCACATTTTCAACTGAATTTGCCTCTTCACTGTCTCCTCATTGTACTCCCTTAGACCCACCGTGTATGAAGGCTATAGCACTCAGGCTGCATCCTTTCTGCTGAGGCTAGGGGTGAGAATGGTTCTGCTTCAGTGCTTTGAGAACTTGGACAGAAGGAATTAGGGTTTTGCTTTACCATGTTGCTCTTCAATATGTCGTCGTGTCTCAATGAGGGAAGAGACCACGATGACCACGATGGCCACGATGGCCACGATGTTGGATTATTCATTTTAACTTTTAACTCTATGTTGCCTAAGCTGATGAAGGGCCTGCTGGTCGAGGTATGCTTACTCAAATTATTGTTCAAGCTCTACTTTTAGTCTCAAAACATACTCATAACGAATATATCTTTTTAAATGCCGGACCGTATTTTAGACCTGAGTATGCTTCGAAGCTATCAGTAATTCTTGAAGAAAAACCTAGTTACGCCGGGTCACTAGTAGCAAGATTTTATCAGAATTAAATATGTAAGTGATGAGTCCCTTAATACAAGCATGTTGTGGAGACTTTTAGTTCGTTTAGAAATGCATGAAAACAGAATCTTTAGTCTAAGGTGTGAAGACCAAGATGATGTGACCTATAGTATTGGCGCGGTCTCTGTTCGTTTTTCATAAGTTGTTTGACCTTGTTTACGTAAATTGGTATTATTGTCAAAGCAGCCTTAAGGAACACATCTTGTCCTGGAATCCATAGTATCCATAATAATTTCCAGTATTGGATTGAGGAATTGGTACATTCCCAGACGTCTCATCGGCATGGAAGTTAGATTGCCAAACAATGCACCAATTACGGCTGGACAAGGAAGGCTGTCTGTATTGCTAAGAATGATAAGGTTCAACAAAACATCTAGGGATATACAAAGTCCCTGGTCCAAAACTGGAAATTATCATGGATACTATGGTCTCCGGAGAAGATGAGTTCATCTAGGTCTTCCTGGCGATACGATTAAGTTGTGAAAATGAGATCAAACCAATTTTAAATCAATTCTTTGGCTGACCTCACCATAAGACGACATGTGCTTCGCATTGTTCTGCAGCCATTTAACTACAATACGGCCTTCCGATTTACGAAATACATTAGATTTCCTTCCTCGTTTCGAGTATAAATGAGCTTAGATATCGTCCTTCATATGACGGGCATCATCAAGGCTGGAACTCATTCTTGCAACTTTACGTCAAGACGGCTCAAACTTAGATATAGATGGAGGTTGTTTGACCTTGTTTTTGCAACTTGGTCATGTTGGTAGGAAGACTTAGAGGAACACACCTAGTCCGGAGTCCATTGTATGCATGGTCATTTCCAAAGTCCGACCGTGGACGTGGTAAATTTCCAGACGTTTCGCCGACATCCTAGTCCTTGTCCTTGTCTTTTCACATTTCCTATATCCTCCTATCACGCCTTCGTTGTTACAATTTTTACCGTGCTTCTTTCGATATATTGTGGTGTGCTCCTTTTAGCGGAATTCATGAAATCCTTTCATACTCCACGCTGCCGTTCTCACCCCTTTCACCCTTGTGCTGGGAATGTTGATCAGAGTCTGTCATAATGTTACGCAGTCCTCTTTTCATAGATCTTATCACAGTCTCTCTTTTGCCTTGTAAGATCCGTCTGCTCTCTTCTTAGTTCACGTATTTCACTCGACCCTTGCCACCCCATCTGTGCTACTCGAGGCGTTATTTGCCCTCCCCTGCGTCTGGGTGACTAATTCGAGGCCAAAGGCTCTGAGTAAGTCTCATCTTCAAGCCTTTGCTACATGGACCACATCTCTGGACCATGTACTGTCAGCCAACTAGCTCCAGTCTCCGCCGCGTCTATCCTGTCTCTATCACTAATACCAAGTCTATGACGTGCTATGCCCTAGTCTCTTTTGTGCCAACCCACAAACGTTGTGGTTCAACATTGAACCTAATCAAAGCAAGCAGTACCCCACATTTGTGGGTTGGAATACAAGAGACTAGGGCATGGGAAGTCATACACTTCATATTAGGGATAGAAACAGAATAGATGCTGCGGAGACTGGAGCTAGTTGGCTGACAGTAGGCCTGTTTTACTATAGACGTCGTCCATGTAGCAAAGGCTTGACGATGAGACTTACTCAAAGGCTTGAGCCTCTAATTACTCACCCAGACGCAGGGAAGAGCAAATAACGTTTCGAGTAGCACAGATGGGGTGGCAGGGATCAAGTGAAATACGTGAAATAATGAGAGGATCGACGGATCTTACGATGTAAGAGAGAGATTGTGATAAGACCTCAGGAAGGAGGGCTGCGTAACAATGTGGAACACTCTGATCAACGTTCCCAGCACAAGGGTGAAGGGGGTGAGAACGACAGCGTGGAGTTTGAAGGGTTTTCACGAATGTCGTTCAAATGAGCACACTACACTACATTGAAATAAATACAGTAAAATTGTAGCAATGGCGGCGTGACTGGAGGATATAGGAAATGTGAAAAGACCAGGACAGAAGGGGAGATACCACAACTGTT